TTCCTAGGCTTTGGAGGTAGGGGCATCTGCGGCAGAAAAGCGGGACTTCTAATTATATGCTGAGGCTCATGTCTGGCAGAGAAGAAGATTGAATGATGAGCGGCATCAGTGCATCTCCTCTAGTCATGGACGGGATTGTCAGGGCCCTCCTACAAGTCGCCACGTCATCCGAATCGTTACCAAAGTAGAAAGTTACTCAGTGCTACGGAACACTCATATTAGTTTCATTTACATAATTTAATTTTAATTGCATTATAGTGAAGCCACATTTGGTTTTTGCCTTGGATTCACCTACTAGTTGGAGATACCCCACCCCCGCCCCCCATAGTAGTACTGCCAAAGGCAAAATGCAGCCTGTCCCTAAAAACATTGCGTGATCCTAATTTAAGGGACTTTCAGATAGCCAGGTTGGGATGTAAACTTGAGAGAGTTACTTCCAGTTGGAGGAGAAGGTTTTGTGCTAAATGAACACATGATCTGTCCCTACATAAAACAGCTTCAAATTATTGTTTCATTATATTTATACCCTTCCTTCCCACAATGGAGTTAAAGGCAGCAGATGAATTCTCCCCCTCTAACTATTTAGCACGCTTGGAAGCAAAAGTAACGCAGATTTAAATCCATGCTGTGATCATCCTGTAAATCCAGGGTGAATTTTAAGAACAAGGCATTTTTCAGTGTTAAAAGGTAGGGTTTCCATGCTCAAAGCATGGACGGGTCTCCGTCTGAATCTGGTTTAATAGCCATCTGTAAAATGGCTATTAAACCATTTTAATAGCCTCGGGTGTTTCCTTGTTTTTAAATCTTCCGCAGGTTGAATTCCTAGCATATTCTGAAGTGCTTTCTGTTCTCTCAAGGGAAGCTTGGAAAAGCACTGCAGTTAAGACTCTGAGATTAGATGTCCTCCGCTCATTCAGCCCTCCTCCCACACCTACTTTGGAGAATTGACTGCTCTACAGAGAAGGCAGAGGAAGGTCAACACCTGTTCTGGGTCATTCCAGAGTGCAGGATATTAAGTCACAGGAAAGAGGATTGGTGTTGAACATTAGGAAGAACTTCCTAGCAGGAAGAACAGTTCACTAGTAGACCAATGACCCAGAGAAGTATGGGCTCCCATTTGCTAGATGTGTTCGGATAAGACCTAGACAGCCATCTGTCAAGGATGCCTAAATTTGGGTTCCTGCTTTTATTTATTTGTTTATTACTGAATTTATACCCACCTTTCAGTTTTCTTCCAACACTCAAAGTGGATTTCTACACTGAGCAGGGACTGGAACTCATTATGCTCGTACAGCCTGCCTGAATTTCAGCCAGCATGGGAAATCTCTCAGTTGCAGCCCCAACTTATTTGAAGGAGAACCAGGGAGATCATACCATACGGGAGTGTTTCTCAACCTCGGCAACTTTAAGATGTGTGGACTTCAACTCCCAGAATTCCCCAGC